GACAAAGATTTGTCCTGACTGTGGGCAAGGCAGGAAAACTCTAGCAACAAGCCAGTGCTCTTAACTGCTAAGCCATCTCTCCAGCCCATACTTAGCTTCATTTTAATTGTGCTAATCTCTTCAGAAACTATGTGTGCTGGCTAGTTTTACGTTAACTTGACATAAAACTTGAGTTATTGGAAGGGAAGGAGCCTCAAGAGAGAAAAATGCCTCCGTAAGATCCAGCTGTAGACAAGCTTTAGGACATTTTCTTAATTAGTGATTGATGTGTGAGTGGCCATTGTAAGTGAGACCACTCCTGGACTGGCAGTCTTGGTTTCTGTAGGAAAGCAGGCTGAGGTAGGACTCCAAGGCCTGGTGGGCAGCTGCCCTCCGGGCTTCCCTAAATTCTAGACTCTAGAATGAGAACTTCCCCAAGTTCCAGACTCTAGAATCTAGAGGCTCAGGAGGTCCCCCTACATGGGTTCTGGCACCACGCGAGGGAGGTTAAGGAGGACAGTGGTGGAACCCTCCTGTCCCAGAGGCTCCAGAGACCCTCCAGGGAGGCTTGAAAGACAGATTTCAACAATCCAAAGACAGCTTCGCACCTATGTAACAAACCAAGAAAGGACAGGAGACATCAGCAAATGGAATCATGGAGTCTGGGAAGAAGAAGAACATCTAGGAGACAGCTATGGAAGCCTTAATTCTGCAGATGGATCTAACGACTTCAAGGAACTCTGGACAAAACTTAAGAGTATCGTGATAAGGAAGTACAAGAAAAAAGCCATTTATTCTGAGAATCTAAAATCTGGTCAAAAAAAATTAATGAACTTCAGAGAACACCCACATGGAATTTGTTTTCCCCCGTAATATACTGATAATCTAACAAGAAAAACAAAAGAAAACATGGCCCCTTAAAACAGTGCTGTCCAGTCTGCCTGTGGTTATGTGGTTGAAAGTTTCCATGTTTACTGAGGTATGGCCTGCACATTTTGGTTACAGAAGATAAAAGAAAAATGAGGAAAACAAAATACCGTCTTCCTCAGTACACATTGTAACTCCAAAGGGAATTCATTAATGATACCATTCATCCCACTAGAAACACAACAAAAGCTCTTGTAATTCTCAGTTGCTGAGTAAAGAAAAACAAAATTAGAACTGATCACTACACCTCAAACCTCCACGACACCCAGCCAGCATGCACCCTGACAACCAGGCTTCCACAGTCCTCATCCTCAACAGTTGAGGACTGAGCACCCTGAACCCCAGCCTCGGAGAGAAGCCAGGAGCCGAAGGCACCCAGGCAGCTTCTGCTGCGTTGGTTTTGGCCTGCTGAGGTAGTGTCAGCTAGGTCCCAGGGACAGCAGCCAGGGGATGTTGAGGCTAGGGCTAAGGCTGGCCCAGGGCTCTGTCCAGTTCTCCTGGAATGGCCTTTGGGTCTGCTGCCTGGACCAGTCCTGGACAGAACCACCCTTGCTGGCTGTCAGCAAGATGTACCAGGTGTTTTCAAAGACAGTTTCAAGGTTGCAAGAAGATTGTTCTAAACTGTTATAGGCAGCTGCTTGGGGTGGGAACTCCTGACAGCCTGACATTGAGGTCTGGTATGGGGCCGAACGGTTTCTAAATCCTTTCTAAATTTAAAAAAGAAAGAAAGAGAGAGAGAGAGAGAGAGAGAGAGAGAGAGAGAGAGAGAGAGAAAAAAGAAAGAAAGAAAGAAAGAAAGAAAGAAAGAAAGGAAGAAAGAAAGAAAAAGAGAAAAGCAGGTTTCTTTTGAGACTAAATTGCAGACTCAGTATTTAAAAAAGAAAAAGGAAAACTGAAAAACAGACATCCATTTGCTAGGCAAACACACCAGCATAACTTGACTTTTCAACTTGTGACCTATTTTTATGTTACTTTTACTTCATTGCTTAAAATCATCTATTGTTTTCTGTGACATCTGTGCTAACTAACTATTTTCAGAGATTCTTCATCCGCCATTGATGCTATCCTCCATGCGATACTAGCCATTTACGGGAACAGTTTCTAGTGGCTCTCCTCCTATTGGATGCTCTTGACATTTAAGTATCAATATGTGACAAACATTACAGTTATTGATGTCACCTTATGGAGGTATGTTTTACATAAATTATGAAAGATAATCCATATTTGTCCATTCCTACATATCTTATTTTCTTTAGGAGGCACAAAATTTCTTATATATATTATTTTTCTTCTGCTTAAGCATTTGTTGCCAAAATTTATTTCAAGGAAGATTTACTGGCAATGAATTTTCTATAACTTCTCTCTATGATTGTTCTTTCACTTTTTAACATCCTCAGTGAGGTATAATGCACATAAGATTTGGCCCTTTAAACTGAATAATTTCTGGGACATTTTTAGTGAAGAATTTTACAATTATCAATGTTAAAATATAAAATATAGCATATTTTTTATTAGATCTATGCTGTGGAATAATGCATTTG